AAAAAAAAAAAAAGAACAGAATACTAAAAGTGGGAAAATGGGCAGTACCTTCATTAAAAAAAGCAATGTGCTTACTAAGGAAAAGTTGGCATTGCTAGTTCTAATGAAATTAGATTGCTTTAGAATAGAAAACTAAGAAATCTTGAGTAATTTAAATTTTCAAGTCAATTTTCCGTGGATCTGGTGAGCCTTTGTGTGAAAAGTCTGTGTATAATTAGCTTTGACGTATTTTAATGGTTTATCTTTCTGATTGTTGTCTTGGAAAAGCTATCTTTTCTGCATATCGTATTTCTCAGCTTTTCACACTTACCTTTTTGTTTTGTATTTGAAAGACGAGCATCTGCTTCCTAAACTGCTCCCTTTTTAGCACTGTGTCTGTCTTGCCAGCAGCTCCTTTATGGCATCACCATGATTGGAAGCAGGAAAAATAGCCACGGACGGCAAACTCTGTGCCCTGTGGACATTTTTAGCAATTTCAGTGAAGAGAGCTGAGTTTAAAAATAGACTTTCGCTTTACTAGTTGACATTTCTTGAGGCTTCCCGTGGACTCTCGGTGCCTCTCAAGCCTCGGACTTCATTATTTTCAGTTCCGTACGGAGCCTGGTAGGCCGTGCTGGGTGCCCCTGCCAGCTCAGGTGTGTGGGATGCTGATTGGGCTCCACGTTCTTACATCTTAGAATCCAGGGGATAATGCAGATATTTTTATCCTCATAAAGTTGACTTGTCACTCCTTAACATCCTTAAAATACCCTTGAACGGGTTGCAAAATCTGATCAAGTTTGCCGTTTCTTAGACGTGCCTGGCATTCTTCTGAGGAGCCTTTTCTTCCCTTTAGGATTAACAGCTTGGAGAGGGTATTTCCTTGAAGGTTTCCGAGATGCTGCAGTTGGAGAAGTGACCGGAAGACTTTGGAATATGAGATCTAGCTCAGCCTCAGAACGGCCAGGATTCGCGTTCCTTTTGGTCTGTTGCTTTCAGAGTAGTGTGACAAGTGCCAGCAAAGCATCCACTTACTTGAATTTTACTAGAGGAAACCTTTGGCTGGAACCTGCGTTATCTTGTCAAGCGGAATAGCATCCTATGTTTAGAGCTGGCTGAAAAAATTGTAGATACCATCAACAAATCTATAAAGAATTACGTTTCAGAACACGTGTGAAGCTCTGCGGGCACGGCTCCCACCCTCTCCGAGTCCACAGGAGCTAGGAGTCAGCCCTGGGGAGCCACTGGGCAGCTCAGACCTGGGCACTGAGGGTGGAAGGGAAGCCTCGGAGGTGGGCGGGATGTAGTGGCCTCCAGGTTCCCTTTTCTGTGTTCACCTCATTACTGAAAGAGAATTGGTTCTTCCTCACAGTTGGACCTTCTCAGAAAGAATCTTCCTCTTGCTTCGTGCTATGCCGTGCTCCGCCATGCTTAAGACAGCCCCAGGGCGATGCGTGGTGTCTGTGGTACCAGCCAACAGGAGGTGCTGGCGCGTGCGGTGGTCAGGAGTGCTGGCTCTCAAATCCGTCCCTGGGTGTGACTCCAGCTTGGCACTTTCTAGTCCTCTGGCCTTGGGCAAGTTCTCTCTGTGCTCTGGAAAATGATGGTGGTAACACCTACTTATGGAGATGATATGAAGTCCAGAGGGAAGAATTAAGGGTGCTAGCACTTAGAATCTATTTGGGCTGCATTGATACAAATTCTTAACTGCTAAGTTTTTAGTAATTCTAGAACATTCTATTCCCAGACTGACCCGAGAGGTGTTTATTCATAGTAATCATTCAGTGAACATTTATTGAATGAGTGAGTAAAACCATTCCTTCTCAAACGATAGCAGTTTACCTTTCTTCAACACTCCTGTTCACGTTTGCCTTCCCACAACCCTATGATGTTTCCATTTTACAGACGAGGAAGCCAAGGCCCAGGCTGCTAAGGTGACTGCCTGAAGCCACACACAGTAAGTAGTAGTGGGTGAGGCGGGGGACGTCCAGTGTGGCCCTCTGCCGGGAAACGAGGCACAGAAACCACCCTCCCTCCTCTCCCTGCTCCCCACCCCCACCCTTGCCCACCTCCACCCCGGTTTTGATACGTTCTCCTCCTCAGTGCAAAGTCCGTGTATGTTCTTTGTAGAAAATCAGAAAGAAACCGGAAATCACTGCCAGTCCTCCAAGCTCTCCTTCCCCCTGCTTCACTGAGACGAGCGGGGAAGATGGAGAGCTGTCACGTGGGCAAGGATCCTGCCAGCACCTTGGGTGCCCTAGCTACCGAAACACAAAGAAATAGAAAGCATGGCGCGTGCATTTGAGGAACTTACAATGTAATTTAAGAAGTAAAAGGCATAATTATAAGTGAAATATTAGATAGGAAATTTGTACAGATGCCTGGGCTCAGGCAGAGAATTCAGATTCATTGAGGTTCAGGCCCCAAAGCCTACATTTTTAGCAGGTAAGATCCAGTCTACACTTCTAATAACCCTGATCTTTGACCGAAACTCATGTTTTACCGTGAAGAATTTCAGATGTGCAGAGATGAAGCCGTTTCAGCAAGGGATGGAAGGTGTGGACCGGAAGGCTGGACGCTATGAAACTGCTCCTTCGGTGGGTCAGAAACTCAAACAGCAGTTTCT